AATATGTTGTTGATATGTATGTTTTTACGTAATTAACAAAAACATGCATTCCGATTCTTTTGTCTAGGTACTGTATAATATTGAGAAATTTATGCTACATACTCCTACAAAATCTGAAGAATCAATATTAAAGGATCACTTACTTCATATAACTGTATCTAATGGTTTGGCTTTCAGGTGGATTGAAAGTGAAGAAGTAAAGTCCCTTTTCAGATGGTTCTTTCTGGAAGAATTTTGAATGATGCATCTTTTAAACATAATCATTGTATAGAACAACATGCACCCAATATGCCAATATGACTTTGTTACAACATGTCCAATTCCAAATACTAATTGGACATTTGGATCCAAATATTGGACAAATTGGACATATGAAAAAAGAAAAGATAGATTAGGAAAAAAATTGAATAAAACTTTACAAGATCCAGCTAATAACATTTTGTTGAGGGATTTGGATGAATTGGAAAAAGAATTGGAAAAATATGATAATGATGGTGATGAAAATAACCTACTTCCTGCCTGATGAAACATTAAACAAAAAAACCAATAATGGACAGATTTGCCAACACCGGATAAAGGATCTATTCCTTTGATTGTATTGACATTTTCCCATTTTGTAATAATGGAGGTAAATAGAGTTTTATTTTTTTTAATCAACTTTTACAATAAAGTTTTATTTATAAATTCTATCACACTATATATTTGTAGCAATATGTTAGTGAAATTGTAAATGACTATGAAAATTGACCACCCCCTGAACATATCAAAGAGTTGAAGTTTATTAGGAGATTGCCTATTGAAATAATGAGATTTTTTTAATAAATACAATATTTAGTTGTGTTATGAACTAGTATATACTTTTAAATAAAGAAATTGTTGAAGCACATAGGAAATAAACCATTTGTTATGTTTATATAAAATTTGTTAAAGTTTCAAATAAAAAGCATGCAACATTGGGTTTATGATTCTTTAATGTGTATGCTGCATGTGGTGTGGATTGAAAAATAAAAACAATGTAACAATTTGATTCTATTTATATTTGACAATTTGTGGTTATTATGATTGAATTTCATGATTCCTAATTCAAGTGTGATGGTAGTTTTGGATTGATTAAGAAACTCTACAGAAAAACAAGCATAGATTGTGTGGATCATGCAGTTGAGGTGGTAAAAAAGTCTAGTCCAGTAGGATTAAATAAAGCTCAATATTATGAAAATGGAAAAGGTTTCAATACCTGAATATTAAAGCTATTTTAAGAATTTATTTTAAGAATTACCAAGCATACAAAAATATCAACATTTTCTTTTTGAAGCATCTAATCTTGGTACAGTAAAAATTCAAGTTGCTAGTGAATCTTTTACTGAATTCAATTTATTGAAAACCAAGAAAGCAGATATTTTGAAGAGATTAAAGCTTTATCCATTTTGGTGTTAATACTACCTCTTTTGGACCATAAAAGACAAAAATACCTTTATAATAATATTCACCCATTTGTAAAGGATGAGTTTAAAGACATCATTGTCCAAGCCAGCACAAAATGTAACTGAATAATATTTTTTTTTATTTTTCCTAACCTTAATTATATCAATAACTAAAATAACTAAGAGACATGACAATATTCCATAAGGAAACTTGATAATTTCATATTATATCAAAAAAGTAAACTTTTAAGTTCAATTTTTAAATTTTTCATAAAAATTGAATTTGCAAATAATATTTAATTCAACTTATTTGTAATATTATCAGATTCCTTGTTCCTTTTATATACTGTTGAGTTTGCTGATCTTTTTTCATGTTCAAATTCCATACATGTCAGCTTTCTCTGGTCTAGTACAGTGAAGATTACCAAGTGTCATTGATGATAGATGCAGCTTTGATGCATTCCAGGACCATCTGACCCCTCCCTGGGATTTAGTTGCATCATTGTATTGTGAGATTGTAAACCGTGGACCAACCAATTGACCGTTAATATTGACCAATTAGAACGAACTTACTACGGAAGTCATGTGATGCGCTAAATATTACATCACGATTAACAATCATCTTTCTATATTTATTGCAACGGTTGCACGTCATGTTACACATGTAGATCATTACATCATTTCTATTTTTAACTTATTTTATGACATAATTATTTACTTCGAATTATTAATCAAATTATTTGTAATAATGACTCATAGGATTAGTAATTATGAGTCAGAGCATTAGTAATTAGCAATTAGTAAGCTAGTAATACAGAAAATAGGATTAATAAGCATATTTTATTGGATAAAATATTGTAAAGGTCATGTTATTTGTAATACCTCAAGAGGTATAAAAAGGCTTGGTTTTAGACCAAGTGAAAAAAGAGAATGTTAATAACATTAATAATAATTGAATAAATAATTCCCCCCCATTGTTAATAATTAAATAAACACATTTTACCTTATTACGAATTTTTGCATAGTTAATAGGAAGCCATTGTAAATTGTTCCATGGTCCTCTCTGATGATTAGTGGCTGGCCACTAATCATTAGTTAGGAACACCCCCCCATTTGATTGTTCTATGCTGCTTGTAGGGACGCCTCAAGTGGTATAGTTGTAAATATTCCTTGTATATAATTTTTTTTATTTATCATTTTTAGGCCAGCAGTACTTCTATTAGTACTGTAGAGAGAATTGCACAATAGAGTTTTGAGTAGGCTCTGAGCTGTGTGCAGATACAGAGGCATGGTATAGAGTACTGAGAACCCTGAGCTGTGTGCGGATACAGGGAGATTTATATATTGGACTTTTATTTTATTTTATCTTATATATTTTATTGGACACAACCTGAGCTGTAATTGAATTTACACGCTCGCAGTATGTTTTGACTTATGTTTTAAGTATGTTTTGTAAAAATTAAGTAGAAAATAAGTATCTAAACTTTTTGTAGGGTTTTATTAGTTATATTCATTTATTTGTTTATGTATTTCAAATACTCAAATTCATAACCAAATAAACCTTATTCAAATAGAAACCCATGTTAATGGTGAGTCTATAGAGGTTCTGTATTCCATACATCTGAGCCTCTGTAGTAAAAAATGCTCTATATGAAACAAAAATATGGAATTGAAGATTGTACAGACTGGTCCCCGCCATATTTCATAGCAATAAAAATTATAATTCATACAGAATTTCCATATGCAAATTTTCTATAGGGCAGAACCACCCATATTATATAACAGTATTAACATTGTTGGGATATTATTATAAACAAAATATTGAGATTTACTGTGAGACTCAGATTTTTATCTCAATTTTTATTATTATTATTTGTAGTGTTCATAGATGATAAAAATGTTAAAAACAGTATATATAAATGTTGAATATAAAAATACTAATAAAATAATAAATAAATAATACTAAGTGATGATAAGAGGCATGATGGTAGGTCACTTCGATCTGGTTAAATTATAAAGTGGGTTTGCTTTAATTTAAAAATCATTTGGTATAGTTAATTCAATTTGTTTAGATTCTATATAATTTAAAATATCATTAATAATAAATAATTAAGATTAAATATTTAACAATAAATTAGATAATTACCATTTATTATTACTAATAATTGTAACTTTATTGGAGTTTATAGGTTGAGGAAGATTTGTAAAATTCAATAATCTACTTGTATAAACTGCATTTGGATGAATAGTTGCTGTAATTGTTGAAGGATTAAAGGGTTTTTTATCTGCTTCCTCAAATATTTTTTTTACTTCTTCTAATTCATCAAGCTGTTCTTCAGAATAACTAGAAATATTAGATTCAATTGCATCATTCCAAAAAGTAATAATTTTTAAAATTTCAACTGCTGTTGGTCTTTTTTCAGGATCAGCATCTGTGCATTTGTATGCTAACTTAATACAACATTCTGGAGTATTATCTGAAAAACTAGGTCTTAAGCCACCACAGATCTTGAAAGCAAGATCTATATCATGTGGCTGATCTCCAAATGGCTTTTGATCTGAGTGATGTTTATTTAAAATCATTTTTATTAATAACAAATCTTGGCATCCTTCTGTTCCATAAGAAGGGAATTACAACAACAACAATAACAACAACAATATTCAATTCAAATTAAACATTATACAAAAGGATAAAAAAAAAATTAGTGTTAAATCAAAATCAAAATCGGGATATTTGTATATTAATATCTTACAGTTTTGATCGGTTAATCAATCAGGTTTTTTATGCAAATCAAATTTAATTGGGAACAATTTATTAATTTAATTGACCATTGTTGCCAAATTCGACGAAAAACAAATTTATATAATAAATGCTAGAAAAAAACCAATCTTATTTTATTCAAAAAACTGGAATTTTGCATTATACCTAAAACTTTATTGCGGTAATTTTTACCTTTTCTCAAGATCCTCCCCGATTATAACAATGGAATATATGTAAATAAAAGCGTGCCTGACAAGTTTACTTGGGAACTATAAAGTAGATTGCTTGGTAAAATTTATACAAATATTATTCATATTTTGTGACAATTCTTCACCATTTCTTTTATTTCATCCTTTGTAGGTATTTTTCTTTTTTAGCAAACAATTTAAAGTTCTCTTCTCTTCTAGAGTTGCTGTTAGTCCGGATATTATAATTGGACTTATTTCTAGCATTCATGTAACAGTTTTTTCAGAAAAGTGGCGAAAAAACTGCCAAACCAAATTCTTGCAACCCATAATTTCCATAACGTTTTTCGAATTCCATATTCCATTTTGTAATACAAGTGCCAAACTTTTAAACAGATCTTTGCGTCTAAAGGATAGGTATTTATTCAAATTTGTTTATGATTGGAACTTTTTGTGTAGAAACGTGTCGCTGGGCCCAGGTCAAAATCGAGTTAAGTATTTATATGTAACTTTCTACAGAGATCCTTTTGAGCTTACGAAAATATCCACCGTCAGATAATAATTTTTGAGATAATTGAAATTGTAAAGATGACATCATTTTCGTAAAAACCATTTTTCCAGAGACGTGTTCGTTTCTATTGAAATCATCTATTATATCTGTCGTCGAGTTGGCTAGTGTTTGTGCTCGTATTGTATCAAAATTAATTGGCTTGATTTTTGGTAATTATATAATCATACCGCTTATTAAATCAAATAAGAAATACGAGCGATGGATTTTTTCAAAAATATTCTTTTAGAAGTTGAATTACACTCATTTTATTGTAATAGAAAATAGATATATTTGGTAGTCATTTTCTTCCGTTGGTATAGGGGGAGTTAGATTATAATTGTTGTTCATTCAAACCAATAAAGAACTTGTTACAATGTTTTTTCGTATAATTGAATAGCAACTTGTTAATATTGATCCTAGGCAACTGAATGATGGATACACTTTCGAGAGGATTTTAATAATGGTGATATCTCAAGCCAGTAAGTTAAGTGCCATAACCTATTTACTATTAACAACTTAAAATCGTTTTATTAGCAGTAAAAAACCATTATCACTAAAACGGAAAATTACATTATATATTATTATAAAAGATTTTACAAAAGGTGGTTGATCGTCATCATCATCATAATAAACTTAAACTCGATTTTTTTTCACGTTTGTCCACTTAAAGTGTTGATTTACTAATATCATTAATAGAGTTCAGTGTATATGGATCAATAGATCATGAAAAGAGTGAGAATAATAAGAAAATAATATAGGTGGCGATGATGCAAAAGAGAGCGGTGAAGAAAATGATGATGATAAAGGATAAGGAGATACAAATTTGTTATTGTTATTGTAAAATCTTCATCATTATGATTATCTTTTATGAAAATGAATGGTTAGCATCTATTAAAATATTTTCTTTGTATTTTTTATTCTTTATAATATCTACGATACCGAATGCCTACTTACAACTCTTTTTACTTTTTTTTCTGGTTGGTGAGGATGGAGATACTTTTGAAAGAAAATCACCTGGCTGCGTGTTATTCATGAACGGCTGGAATTTTAATCTACATGTTCAACAGTGAAATTAGCACTTTTTTACTTGATAAATCATTACTATTGCAGCTTCTGTGTCATAAATTAATAAAGTAATAGGTATTTTAATTAATTTATGTGCTATTTTTTTTGAAAAGGATGATAATAATGCTGAGCTTTTTAAAAAATAAATATAATAAATACCTCTCACAATTTCTTTTCTTTAAATTTTGAGTATAATTATTTGTTAGTGTCGTGAAAAACCTAACGTAAATCATAAATGATTAGATGAAAATAAACAACGATAAAGCTATTTATAAGCGAAGATGCATCATAATATAATTACAATCTTTTATTTTCCGCTTGTATATATTATAATAACACAAAAAAAATAACGCCCAGATAATCTAGGTGGATTCAATTACAATCAATACTAACTAATTTCATTCAAATAAATATTATAATTAATTCTAATTTGTTACAAGAACATTTATAAAAAATCAATGTAAATAAGAAAAACAATAACGATATTTTAAATAGTAGACAAGCAAAGGCGTAATTTAATTATTTCTATGCAAAGTTTCATAATTTCATAAGGTTACACAACCGCGTAAAATTTTTTTTTATTTTCCTATTACACACACTAACACGTAAAAATTTTTTTTAATTTTTTTTTATTTTCCTGTTACACATAATACTAACACGTAAAATTTTTTTTATTTTCCGTTCATAATACTACACTAACACGTAAAATTTTTTTTAATTTTCCGTTCATATTATAATAACAATAAAGAAACTATCGACGCTAAAAAAAATCATTCATTGAACCATTAATATTAACTAATTAACATTTATATTTATAATTCTAAGATTGATGCTAAGGAAAACCTAATATTCTTTTTATTGATGCGAATTTTCTCTTTTTTGGCTGTAACGAATAATAAATGAAAACTAAATTTGGACAACAAGAAAATTCATAAATTTATCTCATAATTGATATAGTTAATATACCATTTGATTAATCATTAATGATAATAAACAATCAGCTTGTGTAATGATATCTTCTCCATAACATTTCATATTTATATAATCAACAATACATCATAATAGTTAATATTGTTACCACTGATTGTGCTGTTGTTCTTAATGATTTTGTTTACGTTTCTTTTGCATTACGCTCTAGAACGAACTTTTTTTTTAAAAAATAATTACTATAATTATCTAACACAAAGTTTATAACGATACTATTTATGATATTTGGTTAATATCAATCAATCAATTAATCAATCAATATATCAATAAATGTTCTATTTTTATTTTAATTTGCACAAACACGACCACTAATAAAGAATTTTATAAGCCAATAATCAATCGTTTTTACCAATAATGATATTAGAAGGTCGAGAAGATGACACGCAGTTATATAATGTATAACGGTACACATAAATGCAGCCTTCAGGGTTTAAATGACAAATCTTATTATCGATAATATAAAATATGCATAACCAACCAACCATTTCATAAAGATATAAAAATGAATCTATTCACAAAGGAAAGTATCACGTGAAACCAGTTTTCCGTCACCTAAAACCATGCAACCGAAGAAAATACCGGAGGACACAAAATCATAATAAATATTTTCCTTCATTTATTTCCTTTTTTTATTTCCCTGGTGAAACCAGATGGACGAATCTCGACCTTTCTAAATTTAAAAGTCCATAAAGAAGAGTGATTTTCCATTGAAAAATTATATTGTTTATCGGCGTCTTTCTCCCCCTTTTTTTTTAATCAATATCCATCCTTCCAGACTTCCAAATTTCGAACAATTTAATCTACCAAATAAATCACGGAAATCTACAACCACTACCAGTAAATGATATCGTTATAATTAGTGAACTCCAAAACAAACACAATAATATAAATATTGTCAAAAAAAAAATAATAAATTGTAAATAAATCAAAACTTTATTGATAACATCCATAAATGATATATCAAGCAGTCGTCATGCCTATAAACAAATCACATTCTAATTTGTATATTGTACAGTTAACAGTTTTATTTGCAACCTAACCCGATCCATTTGTCTAATATTGGTAAGTTTTTAGGTTTGTGGCTATTATACCTTCTTTTTTTCTCGCATCTGCTTTTATTATAACAAAATCTTTAATCAGTAACTAAATATGGGGGGTTTTCCCCCTTCACGGAAATCAAGCCCCCGAGTTTCATAAAATTCATTACTATATAAATAGGATCCTAAAATGAATAATAGTGTAAATTATTCTAAATATGGTAATATGCTGAGAGGAATTTGGCAAAGTTTCCCTAGTTCGGCGAAAATGTTTGTATGTCTAAAGAGGGCTTGCTTTTATTGTACGTAACACGGGGACTGTTGATGCTTTATAACTAATTTTTCGAAAAAAAAATATATTCCATTTTAGTTATAAAAATATGGAATAATCTATTTTCAAAAATTTTAGGATGAGTAACAAACGCCAACAATAATATCGCAAGTTAAACTTATCATTGCTGTTGATGCATTCATTTTAATACCATGTCATAAAGACGATTGAAATCATTACGTAGTAAACATATAATTTTTCTTTGATTTTACTAACGATATTTTTAACAACCAATATCTTTTATTTCTTAAAAACTTATTTTCATAATCTTGTCTACCAAATCGTCACAGGGTAAAAAAGCCCACCAAATAGTCTCACTGTGCACTATCAGAGCTATTGCTATTTGACGCAATGTTACTAGGGTTATAAAACTATTACGTCAATTTGCTTTCATTGAGTCAAAAACGACATAAATAAAACCTGACGTAAGTCAAAACATATTGACGCAAGTAAAATTGCTTTAAAGGCTAATTAAATATAATAACTCACAAATAGGGTTGTGTTGGTCTTTAAAAGATAGCCCTGGAACTGGTCTTTGAACTGGTCCCTTTGAACTACGGCCCTAAATTTAGGACCAGTCTCGACCAGTCTTTATAGGGCCAGCTGATCTTTCTTAATAAGGAAATTTTGAACAATAAAAGTTATCTTTTTTTGTCCACCAGTATTATGTTAAAATTGAGGAACTATCTTTTTTTTTGGAGTTTTTATTATTAATATATATGTTTTATTGAAGTCAATTTTCAAAAACTAGTGGTGTTATTACTTTATGAAGACATCCGAAACAAATACATTCAATTATTGCATACAAAATACAAAGAACTTTACATCAATATCATAATGACACTCATAATTCAATTGACCAGAAAAAACGTGATGAAGCTGTGATAAATTGGATAATTTGTGATTTATAGTCAATTAGTGTAGTAGAGAAAGAAGAATGGTGTACAATGATTGTTGCTTTTGGTCCTAGATAGAGATGGGCAAATGGCGTATAGTTGAACACTATACGACACTATACGATACTTTACGTATAATAATACGTAATTTCAGTTAATTTGATACGTTTTTTTAATAAAACCTCGTGTATGGAAAATTGCAAATTTCCATATATTTTAATTTTACAATTTTTTCCGGAATAATTCCGTATCTTTTATAATAATAACTAATTTCATAGCAATAAAAATTATAATTTATACGGAATTTCCATATGCAAATTTTTTATAGGGGAAGTGTTAAAGTAAAGATTTATTTGCAAATCAAGTTTCCAAAATGAACGTTTATTATTATTATAAGTGGGTTTGATCAAAGTAAGTCTTAAAGTCGAGATTTACGAAGCTGTTTGTAAAATATATTTAATTAACGTTTTATTATTATCAATTATTCAATAATCATATAGGCGGATTTGATTGGTCAAGATCTATATAATTAGATTGTTAATAGTTAATAATGGAATTTTATTACATGCAAAAAAAATTTTTTTGAGTTGTAAATTTTGTTTTATTAAATAAATTTGTTTGATTTTCTCATAGATCGCTCATGTTTCCTCTTGATCGTATATCTTAAATTGGTCACGTTTACAATCATTTTGACATTCGTTATTTTGATTATATCGAGAGATATGGTCAGGAGAAGAGTTAGGAAGAGAGTTATTCTTCAACCAAGTCGAAAACCAACCCTTTAAATACATTTTCGAGTAGTACTATTTAATTTATTAGACTATTTCAAATGATTGCTTCTAACTTCTTAAATTCGAACCATTTGTTAACGAAACAACTGTTGGTGAAGTGATTGTTGACAAAATGAATCAATGTTTTATATTAACGTTTATTTTTTTACATTATCAAATTCACAATTTTGATTGGTCGATCAACAATTGCGTAGATTAAATTTTGTGTTACCAGAACAGTTATTAGGGTTTCTATTCGAATAAGGTTTATTCGAATTATTCACTTTATTCGTTATGAATTTGAGTATTCAAATTACATTGAAGGTTTATTCGAATAAATTTTAATTCGAATAAAACGAATAATTCGAATAAGAAAATTGATTTGAATAAGGAAATTAATTTGAATAAAAAAATTAATTCGAATAAGAAAATTGATTTGAATAAGGAAATTAATTTGAATAAAAAAATTAATTCGAATAAGGAAATTAATATTAATATTAATATTAATTTGAATAAAGCAAATAATTTGAAAAAATTAATTTGGATAAAACAAATAATTAAGATCCAGTTTAAATTCAAGCTCACTGGAAAGATTGCTATTTATTAAAAGAAACATGAATCTTGTTTCAGTCTTTCCTTATTAATTTCATTTTTAATTTCAATTTTTATAATAATAAAATCAATATTAAACCTAGTTGTATAAATAGTTGGAATATTTAAGTAATTGAACAACCCATGATTCCAAATAATCTAAAATGAATGAACAAACCCAAGATTCCATTTAAATTTTTAATTCGAATAACTTTTAAATTCGAATAAACTTTTTAATATTAATATTAATTTGAATAAACTTTTTAATTTTAATAAACTTTTTAATTCAAATAAAACTTTTTAATTGGAATAAATTTTTTAATTCGAATGAATTTTTTTTTAATTCGAATAAATTTTTTTAATTGGAATAAATTTTTATTCAAATAATTAATTCGAATTAAAGGTCAACTGTATTATGAATAATTCGAATAAGAATTTGTATTATGAATAGAAGCCCTACCTGTTATATGTAAATGATTGAATTAATTGAATCGTGTATTTTTATTATTATAATGCTATGAAACACTTGGTGCAGTGGTATTTTTATTTTTTGACCATCTTGTATAATGTTGTATGATAATAAATGATTTCGTGGTTTGAATGTGCTCACCATCTGTAAACTCAATTGCCTGAAGATGGACAGGGACGTCGTAGAAAGTTGAGTTCTGTGCGCTGAAATGGCCTGAGAGGAATTTCTCTATGAAAATAACGAAAAAAAAATGTGAGGACGGTCATCCTATTTGTATTTTTTTGAATTAATAAAATAGACGATTGTCTTGACCTGAGTGATGTCGTTGTGTGAGTAAAGGACACGAAGCTCGCTGTCACGTTTTCGTTTAAAAACTTGTTATTGCCGATTCTCCCATTTATGGATTGATCGTAGACTATCACGTGAACTGACTTAGCTTGTTGAAAATCACGTGATCGAAAATTATTGCATTTTTGATCGGGATATTTTTTTCTCAAATCTGTCATTGAGGCGTAGTAAGTTGCGGATTAGGTACCTTGCACTATAAATAAAAAATTTATGCATATTAATATGCAATAAATCAATAATAATTATTATAATTTGTCAACCACATCCAAATACAATACAATTTCTTAAATAGGAATAAACACACTGGTCTTGGGGAAATTCTTGCTCCTAGTAAAAAAAAAATGAATGAAGGTATTTTTCTTACACAGAAAATAACTATTTTAAAAATATGTAGTATTTTTTACATCATGATTTAATATTTTGCTTTATAATAAAACAATAGCTAAATTCTATAAAGGTAAATAAATATTTTACAACAAAATAAACATCATCTAATTAAATAACTTGTTTTTTTATTTCTTTATAATAATCAGGGGGTAAGTGTTTTATTATAATTTAACTTTTGCAACACAAAATATACATCATCTAGTTAAATAATAATTTTTTTTTATTTCATAGAGAGTAAGTATTATATTATAATTTAACTTTACAACACAAAATATACATCATCTAATTAAATAATTTGTTTTTTTATTTCTTTATAATAACCAGTTGGTAAGTATTATATTATAATTTAACTTTTACAACACAAAATAAACATCATCTAATTAAATAATTTTGTTTTTTTATTTCTTTATAATAACCAGCTAGTAAGTATTATATTATAATTTAATTTTTACAACACAAAATAAACATCATCTAATTAAATAATTTGTTTTTTTATTTCATAGAGAGTAAGTATTATATTATTATTTAACTTTTTACAACACAAAATAAACATCATCTAATTAAATAATTTGTTTTTTTATTTCATAGAGAGTAAGTATGATATTATTATTTAACTTTTTACAACACAAAATAAACATCATCTAATTAAATAATTTTGTTTTTTCATTTCCTTATAATAACCAGCATGTAAGAATTATATTATAAATCAACTTTTACAACACAAAATAAACATCATCTAATTAAATAATTTGTTTTTTTATTTTTTTTTATAATAACCAGTTGGTAAGTATTATATTATAATTTAACTTTTACAATACAAAATAAACATCATCAAATTAAATAATTTGTTTTTTTATTTCATAGAGCGTAAGTATTATATTATAATTTAACTTTTACAACACAAAATAAACATCATCTAATTAAATAATTTGTTTTTTGATTTCTTTATAATAATCAGGGGGTAAGTATTATAGTATATATAATTTAACTTTACAACACAAAATAAACATTATCTAATTAAATAATTTGTTTTTTTATTTCTTTATAATAACCAGATGGTAAGTATTATATGGGGCATGCTGCAACAAAACCAGACAAAGTGAACATTGGTGTTACCAAAGATTTCAGGGATCAAATTTTAGTAATGTGATTAATAAAATCTTCCATTTGTTATCCTCTTGATATATAGAATTACCTCTATATAAAAATAGTTAATATGAAACTCATTTACATCAGATCTACTATGGAACCAAAGAATTATAGCACCATTGAAGAAGGAACAAGGTGAAAAAATTGCTCCTTACATTTTTAAATTAGCAGACACCAAATCTTTGCAAACATATTT